TTACGATTCAGGGGCTACGATTCGATTATAAAATGATTATTGATGCATCTTTATTTCATGTATATTGATGCACTTTTTCACAACACACATTTCTTTTTGTCTCATTGAATAAGCATTCAACACTTGCAATTTTTAAAAACAGTGCATTTGTAATAAGAAACAGTTGAATTCATTTCCATTATATTTTATTAAACATATAAATGGAAATGTGTGCAAACTGGAAAGTTACAACTTCGTTGTACAGAACCAAAGGTAACAACAGGTATCTTAAATCACAAGATAAAATGTGCAGTTAGAGTAACAAATGATTTGGTGGCGACAGACGTCCACGCATCACATGTAACTGCGATCCTACCTGCCTTCAACAGCGAGGCTATGACTTCTGTTTTGGTTTGGTTGTAGAGTGTCGGTGAAATAGCGTCAGGATGGGATGGTGTATCTGGACTCCAATGTATGCAGCAGTGCTCGAAATCTCTGATTTTCCACGATGGAATAAGGACACAAATCCTTGGCAATAAATGCCCCGATGCCCCGTAATTCGCTTCGCCTTTTCCGATGAGGGTGGCAGCTTTCTAATTGCTTCCTCTATTGTTCTCTGTTCGGTAGCTCCACTAGTAGCCGCAGCAACAACAGCCTGCCGTCTCCCTGACTCCTCCGTCGGGTGGAATCGAGTTACATGGCTTCTCATGTTTGTTGTGTTGCCAAAGTATTTTATTTTAGCACGACACAGCTTACATATAACGTGGCTCTTGTCCAGTTCTGTGCGCGTGTCGGCGTGTTCGCTCCAGGTACGCATCCCAAAGTGTCCCAGAGATGACGCGTACCACGCTTCTTAGTTCCGCATTATTTAGAACCTTCTGTATTACTCTAATTAACAGATTTAAATAATCGAAATTTGGACTTTTGTGAATCGATTCAGATTCGTCCACGTCCGAATAGCGATGCATCTAAGAATCGGAAATTTCCCCCACCCCTACAGGCTAGTATACAAGTCTATGACAAACTGATACTACTTCTCTCTTGATTTATTACATCACTAAACATTTCCGAGTGAGTTTTCGGCATGGAAATAAAATGCGTAAAAAGGACATGTTGCTGTTTACTGTTGAAAATGGTGATTGTTATTATGGTGACAATACATTCATCATTGGGGCTGCAAACTGTGTCACACTCACTAGTTTGAGAACACCATTTTGGCCTGTATTCTTACACATTTTTTACACCAATACAAGTTTCTCTCTTTCACCTAACAAAGACTAACTTTAGCTTAACTGCGTTTAAACTCATCATAAAGCATACTTCATTCAAATTCAAGAGAAACAAAATAAAACTCCCCAAAACCGTCTTAGTTAGTCTTTGTAGCCGTATAGTTAGTCTACTGTTCAACCTCTGTATCAAGAAACTACAGTGCCCAGCTTTCTGTATATTTGGTATCTATTTTTTTTTTAAGATTTGCACCCTCCGTATGAACACTGGGTTTGAGACTGAGAACCACAAACATAGGAGGGAAATAAGAAAGTATTGAGGAACAAACTAATACAGTGTTAGCTTTGCTCTTTTCATGGCATCTGAAAATATAGAAGTTTCCCAGCCTTGCTCTATTTAACTGGCTAGGTCCACTAACAGCCCACGTTTGACTTGGAAGAAGTTTAGTGCCAGATGGTCAGTCGGTCACATTCACACAGTCACAGTCTGCCGCATAGGGTTCACAGGAATTTCAAAAGCAGGTGGATGGGTCATTCTGTTGGCCATACTAAATGCAAATGTCTCCCTCCAACATGCAAATCTATGTAAAATGGAGCAAGATCTCAGAACTGATGAACTGAGGAGATCTGATAGAGCTGCCGCAGAGGTTCAGCCAGCTGGCTCAGTGATAGATTTACGTCCATTTCAGACTTTACCTGCTGTATCTTTTTATATAAGAGGCTAAGGCGGGATTGGTTGCCAGAATAATTTGGTGCCTTGTTCAAGGGCACCGCGATGGTAGTTGCTGGAGTAACAGAAAGCTACTCATTTACTGTGTAGGCTAATTGTCAAAATCCCACTTGTTTGCATGACTGAGGTAGATAATTTTCTGAACATAGACAGGCTTCAGTGAAGAAGGGCATTTAGTTTACTCCCACACTGCATTCGGTATGATAAAATGAATGTGTGAGAGCTCTTATTTGCATCAAGCCTATGCTTTTAGACCATGCAGGGGTGTGGACAAGGGCTGGGTTCACCTCAGACTGGTGCAGTGTGTTTCATAGCCCATAATGCAGACACTATCAGCAGCTTTTGTTTGAAAAACTTGATGAATTACAAAGTTACAGTCCCTCCTCGTTTTCAGGAGCTTGTCTTGACATTGCAACAATGTCAGTCTCCTTTCTCATGCGGGGAGGTGGTCTGTGACCCTTCTGGCTCCAGGTGAAATTCATAAAACCACCTTTGCTCCACCTGAGAGCAATGCCGCGACTCTGTTCTGTTGCATTGAACCTTTTACCCGCCTGCACTCTGTTTAACATACCCTTTCTCTCCTTTTATCCACTATAGTTCACTTTTCCTCCTCAGTCGCTCCAATCTCTCTGCCTCTTTATCTTTCATCATCGCTCCTCTGCTGTCTGCCTCTGCATTTCTCTAATGTCTGGCTGTCTTTTCTCAGCTCCGCCATGCCTCCATTCTCTGATCCTACCCTTATCCTTACCCCGTCCCCCTCTCTTTTTTTTATTCAAAATTAGACAGATGATCCTGACAGTCCTCATTAATTGTGTATGATAGCGTTAAGTCTCTAAGCACTCAGATGGGTCACACCGTTTGGAAGACGGACGAGCGCATATCGGTTAATGTGACAGTTTAGAGCCTTTCTGCTTAGACCAGTCCAGCTGCACTCTCCCTTTTTATTCCCCCTTTCACTCCCATCCACCCTCCCCAGAATCCCCAGAGGACGAGTGTCAGTTGCTCTTTCTCCTGAGCTGTAGATAAGGAAGGCAGGCTTCTCTAATGTGACAGTCCATAACAACAGCGGGCTGTCAAGACATTAAACCAGTCTTTGTTGCCATAAGGACAGTGACTTAAGTGCATTTTTTGTTAACAGCTTTTGACAGTTTTAGTTAATGATATTTTCATAATGAACAGCTATGTAATGCATTCTTGAATGCCAATTTAGAGGAAAGTGCTGATAAATTATGCATAAACATTTTTCGCCATCAAGCCAAAACTCAATGCAGGCTTTGATCTCAGTTGTCTCTGTAATGTTTTGGGGACCTAGGCTCTACCACAGAGTTCAAAATGGCTAATAATTACAAGAGTAGTTTTGTAAATGGCAGGATACTGCTCCATTAGACAGAGTCCACTCCTCGGAGCCGAGAGGCAGGACATGGTTGATTTTCATTGAAGTAGATTGGTTGATGAAGCTTAAGTCTCCCAGGCACCGGCTAATTAGAGACGCGAAGACCTGAGTTTATTAGCGGCGAGGCAAAGAGCATGGACTGCGGCTGCAGTGAGCACACATCAGGGACATCACTCACACGTTTAACATAGCCTCGTTTTTTACTTCAGTCAGCCAGTGCACTGCACAGGGCCCTAATTGGATCTGCTCTCGTGTATAGACAAGACAGGGCCACGAGGCCTCGTCTGCTCAGGCCCCAGCTTTAGCTGAGTGGAGGGTAATAATAATAACTTTTCATTGAGGAACACTCTACTCTACATGCGAACAAGTCTTTTATTAAGCAAAAAGTGTCAAACAGTTGCTGGTTCCAGATTCTCACATGTAAGGTGCTGCTGTGTTTCACTGTTAAACATAATTGTAAGCTCAGTATCATCCATTGTTGAACCACTGGTCAGACAAAACACGCATTTCAAAGAGTCCACCTTTGGCTCAGAGAAATTGTGATGGGCATTTTTATTTATTTTTGGACATTTAACAAGCCAAATGGAAAAAACAAATCAGTTGGCTGTACAAATATGTCTTAAAGGGGAACTACGCCCATTTTTTAAAATTCATACATGTTGCTCTTATGGGCTAAGAAAATCCAAAAGTATTTGTAAACATGAAGAACTCTCTCCCAAACTGGAGCACTAAAACTCAAATTTGTGATGTCATTGTGGATAAAGTGCGAAGCTGCTCCACAGACAATGAATTGGGGTTGTCGATGACACCATATTTTCTGTTTCAGAAATAAAAAACAATACAATACAATACAATAAAGCTCATTTGGGTATAAAAAAAGAAAACATTATGTGGGTCCACGACAGGGTGCTCCCATTCATTGTCAGTAGTGCAGCTCCAGACTTTATACTTGATGACATCTCAAGTTTCAGACAGGCTATTTGAACGTATTGGGATTCTTGATTTAGGTTCTGCTCCCCTTTGCTGCAGATCTCTAGTTGACCTGAATTTCAGCATATACATTGATGACTGGATGAGGTGTGGATCATTTGTCTTGTCTTGTTTTTCTTAGATGTAAGCTATTGGCTCTAAAGAAGTGTGTTGGTAAAGGTAAAAGTCTGTGTCTCAATCAATAGTACTGATAATAATGCAGCTTGTTATCTTTCTTCTGTTTGTAATGCTCAGAACTGTTGTGTCCGTCGAAAATAGTTTCTCCCTTGTGGCACCTTTCATGTTTTTTTCTCTCATCTTGCACGTTGTTTTCACTCTTACCATCACCATTTGTAGGCATGCATCAAAACATTATATTTTATTAATCTGCCAGTTAATTTCTTGATTTGATTAGTTGGTTGGTTCACAAAACACAAGAAAACATTAAAAATGTATAAAGGTCATCAAATTTATTTTCTCAAATAGTCCAAAACCTAAAGATATTCATTTTTACAGTAACTGTAAGATGAGGAAAAGGGTAACAAAAACACAACGATTATTTTCAAGTGTTTATAAACTAATGAAACCACACACTTGACCTTTAAAGATGATCAAAATAACTGCTGATTAATGTTCTGTCGTTTGACATCCCTCCCATGCTATATTTTGCTCAACCTCTCCTTCTCTTTCCCCCCTCACTCAGGTATACCCGGGGTTAATGGTGACAGCTGGCCTCATCCACTACGTGCTCAACCTGCTCCACATCACCGTCCACATCCGTGACGTGTGCGTCTTCCTGGCACCGGTGTTCAGTGGTCTGACGGCCATCTCCACCTTCCTGCTGACGCGGGAGCTGTGGAACCAGGGCGCAGGGCTGCTGGCGGCCTGCTTCATCGCCATCGTCCCTGGCTATATCTCTCGCTCCGTCGCAGGCTCTTTTGACAATGAAGGCATTGCCATTTTTGCCTTGCAATTCACCTACTACCTCTGGGTATGCACGCTCTGCACAGTGTGATATTAGATAAACATTTCATTTTGATGTGGGTATATACCTCTGATATTTTGTTTTATGGTCAGTTTGAAATTCTGCTTTGTTAAGAATTAGAATAAATCTGAACATGTGCTCGCTCTGTATTTTTACCCCAATTGTGAGCACTCAGTCTGTTCAGTTTTAGGGGACAGGCTTTGTGTAGCCCTATTTTCAATCTTACTTGGCCTCAAACGTTGAATTATTTATCCAGAGGCTTGAAAGGCACACTGGGCATCTTTGCGGACCATGTGGAGCCCAGGAAATAGCATGCTGCACTGTAAAACCTTCACAATAAGATGACCTTTAAAGGTAGAATTGAAAAGATCTCAGGTTAAAGGGTGAATGGACCCCCTCCCAATTTACCATCCTTTTTTAAAAAAATGCACAAAGTAAATACAGCAGGTAGCCACAGAGCGTCTGACCTTGTTGAATTTGCTCATGGTTGTCAGCAAGGTCAGATTTATTTTGTATATAACAAAAGTATTTTTCCTTCAGTGATTTAAAACATAATTTGTCAAGGTTATGCAGGAAGACCTTAACAGAACCAATACATTCCACAGACGAGGAGAGAGATGTTTGCAGGGACCACAGTGCACTTTTTGCAATGGTCTTCCAAAGTCCGCGGAAGGAAAGAGCTTTTCAGGCTGCAGGATGTATGAAACAGACTTTTCACTGTACCTCAGTGTGTCCACTGCTTTCAGTTGCATCAGCAGCTGCCTTACAGCCCCACAGCTATCTTACTATGAAAACCTTGTGTGTGTGTGTGTGTGTGTGTGTGTGTGTGTGTGTGTGTGTGTGTGTGTGTGTGTGTGTGTGTGTATGTGTGCGCGTGAGTGTGCTTGCTTGTCTTTGTGTGAAATTGAAGAGCTTGGCTTTGCCAACAGTTTTTTCATCATCCCTCTTCCTTCTTGTTATTGGAGTTGACCTTGACAAGTATTGAGGAGTTTTTCATTCTGTATTGAGCTGTACCCATTCAGTTATACATGCTTCATTTTTTACTTTAAAACTCAGAATAAGAGCGATAATGCCAGAACAGAATTCATGAGAAAACTAGAATTCAGCTGCGGCCAGACAGACATACACACATTCCAGGCTTCCACCTGGCCAAAAATAATGAAAATGTGAAAAGGAAACTTGTGATAGAGAATATTTCGAGCTTACCAGTTGAAATTGAAGTAATCAGCTCCTTCTGTTAAACCAGGTTTCTTCTGACATTAAAGAGGTCAAAATCAGCAGATTAAGAGAAGCGCAATACTCATATGAATTGCAAAGCAATGTGCATTTAAGATACAGTAGATCAAGGAGAAGCCTTTGAGAGAAAGTGCCTCAGTTCCACATTTCACCTGACTCAAGTGCCATAAGGCTCGTCGGTGCATTAAATAGCTTAAGTGCAGTTTTTGAAGATCGAGAGAGATTCTGAACCAAGGTTGGTAACTTTGGGGAAAAAGCTGAGTGACACGAGCTGTTTCTGGCTGGTTAAAGGCCAGACAGGCTGCTGCATTTTGGACCATTAGGAGACAATTTTACCATCCATGCTGGCAGTTCTGGACTTCACAGACATGGATTTCTAACATTTGTACATACTGGGAGAAGAACTGCAGATACACTAAATGTGTGAATATCACTGCCTATCATTACAGCGCTGTGGGCATATTTCTTATTTATACAATACCCCGTCATCTCAAGGAGTCTATAAAATGATTTCTGTTAACAAAATTGCCTCATGTTCCTGTAGACTGCAGCGAAGGGTAAGAGGTTACAGGGAAACAATTACAGTCATCACTGTGAAAGAATTTCACACCTGCACAGTTAACCTCTGAAGGAGCAGGTGTCAAATGAATATGGACATTTAAAGGGAGTTCAAATTTAATATTGTTAATTCTAGCGATTTCAAAGAAATCAAATAAAAGACTGAATTGATTGAAAGGAAATGATTTTGCAATTAGCGACTTGCACAGGCCTTATTTTTAAAACTGAACCTGAAAGGAGCCAGCTGCCTTCAGCTTAAGGCCTTCTCCCAAACATGCAGACAGCAGTGAAAGAATGACTCTAATATATAATATAATTGGCACGGGGGATGTCAGTGGTTACTGTTGATCAGTTGCCTGTCTGGAATATTTTTGACCAGTTATGCATGTTGAGCTATAGGCTAATTTTGCCTCCCTTCAGTTTACTGCATTGCACACCACCCAGGTCTGGTGGAAGCTAAATGTAGCTAGCAGCACTGGCCATTCAGTGATTTCTGCTCGTTACGGCATCCCAACCCAACAGTGTGGCTGTGGAAAAATTGTGCCCACCATCCTATCTACCCCCAGGTTAATTGTTAGCTCAGTTAGCACAGTTAGCAGTGTCAGCACAGCCAGTGGTGCTAACATAACTAACTAAAGAGGGCAAAATGAAGCTGTTTATTCACCAGGACTACCTGGGGGTAGACCGAAGGGTAGCTACCATGTATTCACAGCCTTGCCAACAGAAAATAAAACAAAAGGCAAGACATTAACAACACGTAACATTCAAAGTTCACCACCTCTAAATGGATAGCACTTTAAAATGCAGTGCTAAAGCTCAGTGAGTCAGTGGAACATCAGACTTAAAGGAAAGGCTTCTTGTGTTTCATGTCATTTTGCATTTTTCCCCCTTAAAAATCAAGCAGTTTTTAAGCAGCTAGTGGGTGTTGGACTGTCTAAAGCAAAATTAACCAAAACTGAGATCTTGATACTTGGCTGTAAACATTAGTTTTTGACTCTCCTCCAGTTTTGATGCTATGTAGTCAGCACTGTCATTAGCTATCTTTATCTTTGGCTTTAAACGATACATCAGACAAATATTAAGAACAGAAATTACAAGATTTTTTTTTATTCTTTATAATTGTTTTATTCCTCTCCCTACCTCCTTCTGTCTTCTTCTTTGTATTGCTCCTGCTGCTCAGCTTACATTGGAGCGTGACTTTTATTTTTTCTTAGTGTGGAAGCTTTGGGTTTTACTAGAAAAGATTATTACATGATAGGACGCCACAAGCCTTTTGGAACCAGAGGAGACTCATGCAAATAAGCCAATGAAATCTGATGACCAACTGTAGCTGCATAGTTGTAGGGAGATGCATCATTCATGTCTCGTGCACATCAAGTGTAGCAGAGTTACCGAGATAAGACGGGCAAATAAAGACCCAGTTTTATTAAAACTACATTGATAATTTTTTCATTATACCCGCGGCGTTCAAACATGACCGCCTGCAGCTGTTAAAGAGTACCCTCACAGCCAGAAACAGAGCAAGACCCGCAGGAGTCCCACATTTATGCAGACATGTATTCGGAGGCCATATGATGTTGCTCATCAGCATTCAGTATAAACGTTGTGTCTTAGCTGAGAGTCACTGCACAGCACACAGGAACAGATTTAGGCTACAGTTAAGCATTAACCATCCACACAACAAATGCAATGGCATGTATTCCTGATCGCCACGGATGTTTAATTAGTAAACACGGATATCGAGGTTGTCCCTTGATGTTATTCACATTGCCTGTGTGTGCATAAAGATGTCTCTTAATAAGTGACTTTAAATGAAACGCATAGCTGTTGTCATGGACGCTGCAAAACTCTTGATCTACTGCTCGCCAATTAACAAATGAAAATGGCGGTTAAAAGTGAGAAGCAGCATCAAAATTTTGTGCTTTTTATCTTCACTTAGTTCTTTTGGTTTCCATTTTTAATTTGAATTTGTTTTAATTTGAACACTAAAATGAAAAGTTTTCTGTCTCCAGGTTCAGTTGATATATAATTAAACTGTCATGTCACTTCTCAATGATAAAAACCTTCACAGACACACATTTATTGAAAGGCAATAGCAACTTACGTTAGACAGGCTGGTGAGCAGGAAAACTGTTACTAACAGTCTAACTGTCCTCATCCGAGGAGTTTCAGTAAGTGAACAGGAAAGAGTTGCATTATGCTTGCCACAGGCAGCGAGCGATAACAGTAGCTCGTAGGCTATTTGTCCAATTTTCATTTTACCTTCAAGGTGTCGATTTCTCTTTATGCTTGAGCATAAAAACACGCTGCATGGTGGAAGCTTTCATCCAGGTAAAAGCAGTGATGCAGGTGTTTCGTCATGCCCTGCCTCACTGCTGTTTGCCACAGCCTAACAAGCTTGGACGTACAGTCGCCGCGGGGTTGGAAAGGAGCTTTTATCTGTCCGAGGATTCAGCCATCCCCGCTTATGTCACTTTGTCAAATCGTGCATGGATGCATGTCCACATGTGGTTTCATGGTAGTATTAGTCACTAGGCTAGAGCTTGCGGGCAACTCTATGGTTCATTTTTGTACTCGCGTTCACTATCCCTGATCTGGCAGTGACCTACAGTTTGGTGTCCAGGTGGCTGGCTGAGCGCGGCTGTTGTGTCTACAGTTTAAGTACCAATACAACACACCTGGCTCTGTGTCTGTTTGCCAGCTCAGCAGAGTGAAACCAAACAGCTGATAGTGTCAATGGGGGAGTTTACATCCTTACACATACAGTGCACATATGGCAGCCAAACACACTGAGGAAATGTATATTATGTACTCGTGTATACAGGCTTTTATTGTAAATGCATTTATAGAAAATACAAACCACATAGAATTTGAAGTCACTGGCAGTTCAGAGAGTTTTAGAAAACATTTTTCATCTGTTTACTCTGTAATTTAAACTAGAAACTAGTGCTGACATGATGTCAGATTTTCCGTACACAATTTTGGCCAAAAGTGTTCATGATAGTAATAATGAAAAAAAAAAAATACTATCATGATATCATTGCTGCATGATGCACTTTGTCATCTGATGATTCATCCTTAACTTTGTTTGTTGTGCATTTTGTCTCTTTTTTGGCAAATAAATTACACTCAAAACACAAGTGTGGGGAGGTGGAGAGAGAGTCTCTAACCATAGCTGTAAAAAGAATGTACAAAAAGAGCAATTGCACTCA